GTGTTATGTTTTCCTATTTTTGATCAATCTAGGAGGGGTTTTTAGTAATTAGTTAATTAATTTATTTAATTTACTTAACTAGCCTAAGTTGAATGAGTCAAGATCATTTCCTAAGACTTAGACCCACGTTTAAACACTAAGAAACTCACAAAGCAAAACAGTAAACGAACGAAAGAAAAGCAGAAAAGTTTCTCTCGATTTCTCTTAGACGATTTCAAGGTTTTCTTCAATGTTTCGTGCAAGGTGATCTTCGTAGATTTAATTTTACATAAGGTATGGGTTTTCTCTCATGGAATTCATTCTCCAAGCGACTTTTCAAACGTTTGAATTCATGAACTTCGAAACTAGGGTTGTCCCCCAATGATATTGTTGAACATCCATCTCCCTAGTTACCCTTTTTTTCAATTCTTTAAGTATATAGATGTAATCTTGAACATGTTGGTATGTGGTGCTAACTGATTTTATAAGTTCTTGATTTGTTAATGACTGGAGGTCTATAGATTGGATTCGAATGATTTGAGTGTTAGTTACCCGAATTAAGGAATGATATAATGTTTACTTGTGTTTCGAGAATATGAGTTACGATGAATCGTTATGGAATTTAGTTACTGTTAAAATGTTGAGTTTTCGCCTGGTTCATGTTGGGGAATCACTATATTACATTCATGAAATTAATTGATGTGGTTAGTGATAACATAATGAATGTTGTTCAAGTGAAAGTTTGGTTTATGCCAATAAAATGCTAACAATGTCTTGCCCAAAAAGCTGAATGAAATTGGCTTACAATATTGCTTTCAAAGAATGATGGAAAGAATGGCTAATGTTCACCCAACTAAATATGACTAAGGTAACTTTTGAATTCATAACCAAGGGTATGCCAATTATTGGGACAAGTCTCAACATACCCTTTCCAAATGAACTATGAACCTAGTAACCACATTGAACAAAGTTCTTAAACTTTATAAAGAATGGTATAAAGCTACAAAATGACATGAAACGAGTTAAGGTGAGTAACAACATAATTAAAAGTCTGAAAATTATGAGAGTGACCAGAATGGGGTGTCAAAGGATCTCACTTCCACCTAAGACAACTATGTTAAAGATACTCACAAAAGATGGTGTTAATAATCGCGAGACAAGTCTCATTAACACCAAGATGATAATGTAAGGTTAAAAATCACATTTCATCAAGTAAAGAAAGGGAGGTTCGATTATCCAAAGAGTTAAGTAAAACTCATAACTAGAAGCAAGCTTCCATAATGTTTGAGTCAACTCAAAAAGATGTAAAGAAAAAAGTTGAGCAAAGCATCGCTAGACTAGCAATGAGCTTGTGCCAGCACATGTAAGTCTCATGAGATGAGGCTACCACCAAGGTGGATAAGTAGTCTCCATATGTCTCTTAGTCTTCGAACTATGTTGCAAGCATAGGAACTAGCCAGTGGATTCCACCTAAGCAAGCTAGGTATGATTTCACTTTGGCCGGTGATTCCACTTCTTTTCGGAGTGGGGAAGAAACCGGATTTCATGTTTAGCTCACATGATCTATGTCGGTTAAATGCTCAAAGAAAGTATTCGGTTAACTTTAGCCGTGAACCACCTCTTTCCAGTGTGGGGAGAACACTTGACTTGGTTTCACTTTAGCCAGTGAACCACCCCTTTTTGGGGCAGGCACTGGATTTCATATTAGCTCACATGATCTAGATTCACTAGGATTGGTGCATCACCCCTTTTCGGTGTGGGGCAGACACTGGATTTCATGTTAGCTCACATGATCTTAATTCTAAAATTTCCTTAAGAAAGCAAGAAAGAACGAAGAAGAGATGTATGTTCAACGTGAGCTAAGAAAGTAAGAGGCTAAGAATATCAATCGTCAGTGTTTGATAAGAATGAAGTTTTCAACAAATAATGGGCATAGCCAATAATGATTTCTTTTATCATGAAAATGGACATAGCCAAATAAAAATGGCTTATAATGACTTCTTATATTATGCCAATAAAGGGGAGTAAAATGTAATGGCTAATCAATGCTCCATATCTCCCTAATATGAAAAATGATGAAGTAAGTGGCGTAGCCAATAAAGATTGGCTTATAAAGTGTTCCTGCCCAACGAATCTAGAATGAAAAGAATAACTTGTTGTAAGGATAGCCAAATCATTTCCTAAGTCTTTGGATTACTTACTTGATTCATTGTAGGTATGGGACTACAATAAATCATTGTAATTGTATGTAAAGCATAGGATCAAAGGAGATCATTGAACTACATAACAAGAAGTAGAAAAAGACTGGAAAAAAAAACTAAGTATCAAAAAGGGGGCTTTCGGGTTTGGGGCATTAAATTTAAAAAATTTCGCTCGAGTTGTTCTAAAATTATGTTGATGATTCTAAGGTCTTGTATTCATATAGAAAATGAGTTGTGTGCTTTAAATGCATTAAAATACGTCATATTTATACCACAATTCACAAATAACAAATTAGGAAAGTCTAGTGATGTCACTTTCCAAAAATGGCATGTTGTTATAGGAAGAATTTTCCTTGATCATGCATAGTCCTTATGTGTATGTGTGCATACACCCATACTTAGTACAAGTGTGTACTAACCCTATACTATTATTATCTTTATAGGTGCAGGTCAGAGACAAGGTTAAAGATTCATCGAAGTTGTTTGGATTGTCGATCTCCAAACTTTGGTAGGTCCTCTTGATGTTCGAGGATGCTACACTTATCTATCTAGCTTAGTACTTTAGACATAGCTAGTGAATGTTGTCCCTAGCGTTTCTTTTCAGACGTTTATTTCGAAGTTTTGTACTAAGGCCGTTTTGACAAACTATTACATTATATATTAATCTTTTGATTTGAATTAATTCATCAATTGTAGATGGTTGTTTTGATTTGAGCTTAGTAGAATATTAATCTATATAGAAAATATATGAAGTCTATGTATACTTCATTATGTTTTTGAAGTTTTAAATTTTCCACAAATTTAACTATATGAATATGATGAAAGCTAAGAAGAGGCTTGTCTGCGACCTCTGGGAGGTTAACGACGCTGATTGCATTCAGATACCTGAATTCGGGTGTGACAATTCAAAACAAAACTAGAGTTCAAACAAATAGGATTCAGTTGTAGTGAGTTGTTCCCGTTGTCAAGAAAATAAAGATCTCCTGATTCTCTAGCAGTGCCAATCAACTTCCCCGAGACCTTTTCCAGAAATTCACACGAAGAGTATTATGAAGTGTAAGAGATGGTGATAGTTTAGTAGTTCCTTTTCCAGCAATTGCAGAGAAGGAATCATCAGCTATCCTGATTTTATTATTCCCTGCACAAGGAGTGTAAGTAGAGAAAAAACGGGAACTTCTAGTCATATGTGGTCACTAGCTCCAGAATCTACGATCCAAGAATCTATTTGGTTGGAATTGACACTAAGAAAAGCAGATGATACAGTACCTATTTCAGCTAAAGAACAGGAAAGATTATAAGAATTTGGTGCATTAGGACGAAATTGTGGAGATTGAAGGAGTTTGTGCAGAATTTCCAATTGTTCCCTTGTAAATGGAGACGTTTCTGGAGAAGGTTGCTGCCCTTGATCAAAATTAGTTGTTTGGAGGGCCTGCGCGTTTTGAAATTGAAGCCACGATTATCAACTCCCTTTTTCTTCCAGTTTACTGGTTTCCCATGAATCTCCCAACACGTTTCACTGGTATGCCAATATTTTTGCAATGATCACACTGTGGCTTTTTGTTTTTGTTCTCTCCATTCTTCACTGTTACAAGAGCTGAAAAGTTCAACAATTAAATTAGGTTTTAACACAACTTTCCTCCTAGTTTCCTATCTCCCAACTTCAGAAAAGGTTTTACGAAGAGAGGGCAGAGGATTTTTTCCTAGGATTCGCGACCTGACCTCGGCAAACTCTCGATTTAATCCTGCTAAAAAAGGTAAACTCTCACTTTCTTCCCTTTTTTTTTTTGCTTTTACACTATCCACACAGCACTCCCATTCATCATTGTAACACTGGTCTAACTCCTGCCACAAGGACACCATTTCATTATAATATGTAGTACTGCATTCTCATCCTGCTTAGCTTGCCATAGTTTAATTTTTAACTCAAAAGTTTGTGAGGCATCTTCTACATCAGAATATGTCCCTAACGGCTTCCCACACATCCTTAGCCATGGGTAAAAAGAGATAAGATTTACCTATGACTGGTTCCATGGAATTTATTAACCAAGCAATCACGAGTGAATTCTCTAATCTCCAGGAGTTCATCTTTGGATCTCCAACTTCCGGCTTTTTCGTTTCTCCAATCAGATTTCCCAGCTTTCCATGCCTATCGATTACAAGCTTTACGGATTGTGTACATTCCACATAGTTCTTCCCATTTAATCGATGAGAAGTTAACTGGAAGGGCATGTGAGAAGTATTGCCTCCTAGTGTCATTAGATTTTCTGCAGTAGCTTCTAGAGAAGAGTTTTTGTCTTCTGTTGATGTTTCAGAAAGGTGCTCTTCGTGAAAGGTTGTTTTATCCATATAATATTAGGGTATTTCATCCCGCTCTGATACCATGAAAGTTTAGATACTGCAAAAGTATATTTTATTCATAGTATTTGTACAGTATTTATAGGAGAACAAAGTAAAGATTAATTAAACTAAACAATCCCTAATTCTTAGGAAATCCTTGAATCAAGGGATTTCATCTAAATTATTTTCCTAGAATAATATATTCTAATACTATATTTACACAAATCTGCCAGCTTTATTTGTGGATCAGATTATAATCAAATCTGTCAGCTCAATGGTGGAGCAAATTATAACTAAATCTGTTAACTCAATCAACACATCATATGTGATTAAACTGGTCTACTTTCATAAGATGCATATGTTTCAAAAACTGTAAAGAGGAAATACAGCTGTTTTACATCAAAATTGTAGACACCAGAAGTAGAAAGTCATTATAAAATATGAAGGTGTCTGGATGTACAGGAAGAAGCAAAAAGCACTTACCCAAGGAACTCTGAAAGCCCACCAATTCCTGCGAACTTGAATGGTTGAGGTCCTTCTCTTTCAAGATCCTAATCCAAATTGTATTGAAATGTCTCTATGAAGTTGTATTCTGGAAAGATGCATATTTATTAAAGCAAAACAGAAAAAAATAAGATGTGTTTGAACCTCCTCTTCAGCAGCTTCTAGACCACCTTGAACCCAGAAAATGTTGTTGTAACCAGCATTGTGTAGCACCTCACAAGCCGCAATGGACCTGCCTGATAAAAAGGGCTCCGCATAAGCAGTTAGGAAAGAAAATCAGCAGGTTCATTATGAGCATAAGAACCTTTAAGTGCCTAATCTCTCTGACCATGGACCTACTAAGAACATGAGATGCTTACTACCTCAGAAAGTGATACTCAGCCAGCTAGATATATTAAAATTCTCCTACTGTTCCTACTAATATGCAAGAAAACAGTCAAGTGTCATGCTACACAGAAAAATTGTCGGACTACTAATGTGGTTTCGATCCTTCCGGTGATGCCAGAAGTCGTACGATATAAGATTTTATCTTGTTTCCATTTTATTTATTATTCCTGATGTATCAGATAATTGCTCAATGAATATTCATGTTCGACAACATTGAAAAATCCAGATTCTCATAATTTAGTTTGAGTGCTAATCTTGGATCACCATGGAGATGCATGAACCTCCACTTCCTTTGCAACAGAAGTGTACTGATAAACATCACCTGGAATGTTCCGTAATTACTTGTATTCGGCCACTGGAGTGCAGAATTTTACTTCATAGACGAGAATCTGAAATGTAGCTAATAGACAGATAAATTCACCTCAATCCCTTCTGGCATGCCACAATAAGATCTGTATCTTTAGCAAATTTCTCCTCAACATTTGATAAGAATTCTCTGTAGAAGATATTAGTTTATTCTTTATAGTCAAAATATGGAACTCACATGAAAAAACAAATTTAATATTATATAGAAGGGGGGCTGTTTATAGCATACTTGTTGTAAGAAAGAGCAGGGACACCACTCCACCAACCTCCTATTAAGAAGAAGATACATAAATTGGTGATCAGAAGCTTAGAGAATGTATTATGACAATCAGAAGACGTGTATATATTTTATTTACAAAGTTATTCCATTTTGACAACATCATGGAATCTTTCTTCTTTTCTTTTGAAGATTTCTACAAAGAAGAAAAGGCTTCTTGTATTTCTGTATGAATTTACATCCCATGAGAATGCCTTCTTATAAAATAAGTCCTACCGCAAAATAAGGAAAAAAATATTACATAATCAATACATTATCAATTACTCCTAAAATTAAGCTGGGAAATCAATAATTCAACACTCAAGGGTCATATAAAGCCCTCGTCCTCCACTTCTTACTTTTAATCTCTAGATCCATTACCTAGAGCATATGTTGGGTAGTAAGATATTCACTCGGGATAACTTAAAGAGTTCTTACATGTTCTATCTCTCTTCCAAAAGAGAAGGTAATTGATTTGAGTCCTTGTCACCTTACTATGAAACGTCCTCCTTCTAAAACCTTGTGTTAGATATCACCAACGCAAAAACATTCCACAATCCAAAAGAGACAATCCTCCGTCGTTTTTATCCCCAAAACCAAAATCGCCATGCATGTCATCCTAGCTCCAGTGATAAAGAAAACAAGGGAATACCATATGTAATCTAACGGAAGAAGTTATCAGTATATTCATGAATATACAAGGTACTTATAGAATTACAAAGAACCCTATAAAAGGAAATAAATCAAAACAAACAAAAGAAAATATTTTACCATCACACTTATTAGTCTGTAATATTCTACTATCACCCCTGAGATTTGTTACCATATACTGTAACACTCCCCCCTTAAACTGGAGCATAGATATGATCATACCCAGCTTGTCAAAAAGATAAGTAACTCGAGTTCCATTCAATGTCTTGGTAAACAAATCAGCTAATTGTTCTCTCGTCTTCATGTAAATAATGGAAATCAAATTTTCCTGAATCTTCTCGCTAATAAAATGACAATCAACTAATGTGTTTAGTTTTTTAATGATACACCAGATATGGGCTTATATGAAGAGCAGCCTGATTATCACACCTGAGTTTCATTGGCGTATGATGCTTCAATTCAATTTCAGATAACAAATGATGCATCCACATAATCTCACACGTAGATTGTGACATAGCTCTATACTCAGATTTTGCACTGGATCGCGATACAACACTTCGTTTCTTACTCCTCTTCGATACTAGGTTCCCTCCAATAAAAACACGCTTGACTAGCATTGCTCATTATGTGATCTTGGACACTTTGACCCTTGCACCACAACTGATTCAAGAAAACCCAAGCTAAATAGTTTGAACTTCCTATTCCCTTATTTTTGGAGCCAAAATATCAAGTCCGAAAGGCATTATGTGAAAACAGAATTTTGTAGCCTAAAATCTAAAGAACAAATATAAACTATTGCCGGAATCTGAAGCCAACAGGATGACAATTGGCAAAATGTGGATAGAAGAAGAGGAATAGGAATAGGTCATAATGGTACACAAAGAGGGAAAAACATGTTCTGACAAGCCAACTCCGCTGAAGTGAATATCAGAACACAGATTAACAATTCTTTCAATATACTACAGGAAGGGACTGAAAATGAGGTAATGGACACTGCAGGCTGCTCCAATGAGAATATGGAAGAATAGAATAATACTCAGGATACTCAACAACATCAAAGAAGCACAAGATGGGACAAAGCACAAAAAAGGAAGGAAAGCGGAAGAATCAAGAACCAACAGGCTGGGCTAAGCATTACAAGTACCAGAAGTAGAACACTAGCCAACTCCAGAAACATTTATACTGATCTACGGGGAGAAATAGTCAGCTTAGTTATCAAAAATCCAAAAGACATCAAAGGTTTGCGGAACAAGAGGAAGAAATCTAACAAGACAGTTGTTATTCCTAATGACATTACAATTCAAGGGGAGAGTTGAGACAAGATATCCAAATGGAGCAGACCCGAATAGAGCAGTCAAGAGAATGAAAACAGGTAAAAATAACACATGATTCCATTAAACCTCCCAAGGAAGGACAAGGGAAGACAATTGTCAATAAGGATAATAGAGGAGAAGACAGAGATCCCGGTGTTCATGACAAGAACAGAAACCAGGATATTGATTACAATTCCATTCACAAACCACCTGATCTGAATCCAGCACCAGAGGATACAAGAGATGAATATGATGAAGTCTTTCATGATGTGAAATTTATGGAAACTACGATCAACAGAGGAGAAGAAAGGATAGCACAGTCAGATGATAAGCTCACTAGAGTTAACATCAACTATAAATATCAAGAAATGGGTTTACACCGAAGGGACACCAGTTCAGCAAAACATCACCTTTTACAACAATTTTTCACAGGGTGGGGATTTTATTCAAGAGTACATGATGACAAAAAGAACAAGGATGATCAATAAGATCATAACCCTAAATGCTACCAATGATTGATGCTACATCATGGAATAAGGGTGTAAATTGTAATGATATGGCACCTGAGTTTAGCTCAAACCCAAAAGCTAGCTCGTGAGGGGAGGATTGCCCAAATACATATAAGCAGACACTAGTCAATTCCACAACTAATGTGGGACTTTGAACCTACTCTAACACCCCAGGCCCAACTACAGCGTTGACCGGGAGCCCTATCAGAGATGGACCTAGCACTGATACCATGTAAAGATATGGCCCCTAGGCCTAACTCAACCCCAAAAGCTAGCTCGTGAGGGAAGGATTTCCCAAATCCATACAAGAAGACTAACCGTCCATTCCCCATTCAATCTGGGACTTTAAACCACTCTAACGTTGAACGGGCCTCACAGTCTCTGATCTGCCTTAATGAAACAATGGTTGATAGAGGGAAGATTAAGAAAAACAAACAAAACCTAGGAATTCACCAGGGCCTTTCAGCTGCTCAAACGAATATGGCTCTTCTGAACTACAGAAGCTGATATTTGTATCAGAAAGGATAGAAAGCAACATGTCTTGACAAGTGCTACATATAACAATAATTCTCGTATACATCTCACAATTGTTTATCCTAAATGCACTGAAGAACAAAGAAGAGAACTTTGGCAAGATCTTACAACATGGCCAACAACATTCAAGGATCTTGGGGTGCTATTGGTGATCTTGAGAACCCTTGAGGACAATTGTGTGAATGACAATTCTCTTGAAATAGGAGAAAACTAAATGCAAAGTTGAATTACAAGGTATATCAAGATCCAGGAGAATATTACGATAAACAAGCAAGAGCTAAGTCGTTTGAGGAAGGGGATGCCAACACAGCCTATTTTTCACAGTAATTATAAGGGAGAGGAGAAGAAGACCTTTTTTTTTTTGAGAAGGTAGAGAGGAGAAGAAGATTAACAATTAACAAGATCATGAATGAGCAAAATCAGAAGCTTGAAGGTAATGAAAGCATTGAAGAAGCAGTTGTGAGATATTTACATGAAATGTTCACAGCTATCCTTACAATTTACTGTGAAATGTTCAAGGCAATGGTGCACCACTCAATGCATAAATGATGATGACAATTACATGCTTACAACCATCCCTAGAATCCAAGAGATCAGAGATAGTGCATTTGACATGGACAAAGATAGTGTACCAGGCCCTGATGGCCTGAGTGGCTATTTCTGACATGGACAAAGATAGTGCACCAGGCCCTGATGGCCTGAGTGGCTATTTCTATCAATTTGTGGGATATTATTTGCACTGATCTGCATAGAGAAGTGGAAGCTTTCTTTCAAAGCTCTTAGCTTCCTTAATCCCTTACCCATAAATCATAATTGCTTAGTAATGATTCCCGAAATTGACCACCCTCAGAGATTCTCTGATCTCAGTTCTGTAACTGTTAGCCTTTGTAATACCTCCAACGAAGTGATATCCAAAATCCTCACCAACAAACTCTCTTGTATCCTTCCTAAAATAATAAGAAATCAGTCTGCTTTTATAAAAAAGAGAGTTATCACAAATAAGAAAAAAAAGGTAATTAGTCTTATACTAATTGTCGTCTTGTATTTCTTTGAAATAGGGGTCTAGATCACTTTTGATCTAAGTTTTTGAATTGAATCTATTAATATCATAATTAGTTTTAATCCAATAGGGTTCTTAGCATTTTATCTTGAAATTTGGGGATTTTATTCTCGAATTTCACATATCTTTCAATTCTTGTCTTGAATCATAGTTTAGCTTCCCCATTATTTCTTATTTATTCAAGTGATCTGATTCTCATCACCAGATGTGCATATCTTTGGACTAAAGTCAAGCTATATGTCTGTGTATCACCAAGTAATTATAAAGATACAGTATAGTAAAAATGAATCATTTGTGTGTCATAAGAGAAGTTTATTTACCCATCAAAAAGTTTGTTGCTTTCAAGGAAAGAGTACGAAGTTCTAAACTAGCATCAACATCAAAAATTGGAATCCAGGTGGAGCCTTTTACCCATGCCTGCAAAACAGTTGAAAAATCATGATAACCAGGATGGTGAATAACACAATCATTTAACATGGGAAGTATTTTGCTTTTAATGTAATTCATATCCCAAAATGCCTGAACCCAGAGTTTTAAAGGGAACTTTATTCAACAAAACTTGGTAGTCCCACATCAGAAACTTTGATAATCTTAGACAACAGACTTGAACCATGGCAAGGAGTTTTGAAAGAAGAATAGCCACTGACATGCAAAGTTAAGCAAATACTAGCACAACTAAGTAAGGATTGTGTGAAAGGATTTAGAGATAAATAATGGAAAGCTGTAGGTGCAATTATGCTGAGCCATTTAGATTCGCCTTGTATTTCGTCAAATGTGAATAACAGAGAGAAGTGATATTTGAAAGGAAGTTGAATCCACCTTCTTTCGCTCCATAGAGGGACGAACATCAAGCAGCATTTTGTTTGAGAGTTGAATTGCATAACCAGCTTCCCTTGGAGTAAGAACCTTAACTGTCCCATCCCTGATCTACAATAAACAGGGAAACACAAATGTTATTATCATAGTTATACAGTGAAGAATTTAATAAAGGATAATCATGGCATAAGATGTCCCTGTAAAGCACAAATTAAATGATTATATGACATACATTTTCTAATAAGTTGAGACTGCGATATAACTCATCACCTAAGCTAGGAAGATGGGAATCGGAAAACATGTTTCATGTTTCAATTACAATAACAAACGTTGTATATAGAATGCCAAATTAAACATCGTTGCAACTACGTATGCAGTAACTTATCCAGTTCCTCTAGGTTGTCAGTTGTTGGAGCAGAAGTTCCTAGGAGAACATAACATGTCCATAGTCCTTACTTTCACATTTTGACACAGAATAAGTATTATTCATGTAATACAAATTATGGAGTCATCAAACATGTGTGATAGCTTTGTGCTCATATGTGATGCTTTTACGGGCAACAGAACTTTATTTAATGACAGCTGCATGTCAGACATTTTCCAAGCTTAACCAGTACATGCAAAACTGTGAACGAGAATGACATAATCTATTCAATTGAATGAACGAATAAGTAGTTGCATCAAAAGTACGCCTCCTACTTCCGGTTAACAAATTGGCAATGAGTAATTCGATCTTAACCCGATGTGCGTAGTCTAACAAAATTGTATTACACCAAAATGTAAAATTTGAAGTCATTTCACACTACCAGAGCATCCCATCTCTTCTTAGCCGCAGCCATATCTTTCATTTGCTTCAACTCATATTCTTCTTCCACTGCTTGCATCCTTGTGTTATTTTTATACTGAAGCAAACCAAACCAAACCCCATTTCAGAGTTGTCAGTCAATACATGGTAGGAATGAACAAATACAGCGACACACCAACCTTTAACGATTTTAGAGTAGATGGGAATGGAGAGCTGAGAAAATGGATTGAACCGATAAGTGGACACCTTCCTTCTTTTTGACAAGTCCTAACAGCACCAAGGGGTAGGAGCCCATGACCAAGAGCTTCCATTTTTATTTTTTATTTTTTAAGTAGAGAGAAAGAAGGAGATGAGCTTATCCACTCTTTCTTCCCTTTATTGAAGTAGTAAATAATTAAAAAATGATAACTTTTTAGTAGTTATTAATTTTAAAGGAGACTACGTTACAAAAACCATCAATAGTCCATGCATTAGGTAAAATATTATGGCCTATTATGGAAAAATTAGCAAAACTAGTCAAAGTTAATAATTTAATAGTAAAAACTTTATTATTTTAAAAATATTAGTTAAAATGTTATTAATTTTTAAAAAAATATGTATCCTAATTAAATTCTTATTTTATCTCCTAAAAAAATAATTTATTTACATTTCTATGTATATCCAAGTTAACTTTTTTCAAATTATTTTAATTTTAAAAAAATCAAATGTGCAAATTTTTTTCATATCTCTCTCTTCCAGATTTATCCCATAACTAAAAAAAAAAAATCTCTCTCCATATTTTCATGTTGATAGTCCTATTCAACCTTCAAATCCTTCTTCTCTTCAACTCCAATTTTTTTATTATCTTCATTTGAAATATTTTTATCATCTTCAAAATTTGAATTCAGGCAAATTTCTCTAATTAAGGTATTTTCATTGTTATTCTTTTTTTTTTAGATTTATTTTCTGATTTTATTGTTGTTTAAATCATTGGTGAAAGTAGGATTCTTCTCACTTAAACACTCTTCAAAGAATGATTCTAAGAGACACTATTCATCTTAGTAAAACGGTTTCTAGTGATTTCTCATCATTTAATCTATGTATTACTCAAGAAATAGCGGATATTGTAAGATCTGCTTTTAAAATTAGGGAAAAGAAACGACAAGAATTTCATCAAATTCAGATTAAAGACGTAACTCGTAGGGTACAAGAAAATGACGACGAATACCAAATTATTGATGAAGAAGTATTTAAATATTTTTTACATGTTTAGATTTTTGCATGTTGAGTTGAAGTTAATAACAATTTGTTCAACAATGTGCACTGAATATATTTGTAAATTTCTTGTTATGTACATTGTGCAATATTTATTAGTTTGTATTTTGTATTCAGTTTTTGTTTTATTATTATATTTTGGGGTCATTTTTTGTTAATTTTGATAATGTATTATTTTTTCTCATTCCTTTATATTTTTTCACATTTGTAGATATTCAATAATTTATGAATACATTTTACATGACTATTACATTTCAGATTTTATTAATGAACTTTTGTTGGATTTGTGTTGTATGCTATGAAATTTTTATGTATTTATATTTGTAATTTTTTTTCTAAAATTTTATATCCTTTCTCAATTAATATTCAAATTAGTATGTATGCTATTAATATTTATATTCATTCAAAATCTCATGTTGTATAGTTATGAATGTATTTGTTCCTAATTGAATCCATCTCAAATGTATACTAACTAGATATGTATATTATTTACATGATGAACAAAATCCTATTAGTTTCTTTTTATATATTAAAAAAAATCAGAATTTTGTATTCTTTCTGAATTTGTATTTAAAATCGTATGTATACAATTAATATTTGTATTCATTCAAAAATTATGTTGCATAGTTTATGAATTTGACATTTTTTTTCTAATTTGTATTTATTTTAAAGGTAAGTCAAGTAGTTATGTTATTTTATTTAAGAATAATTACACCAAATATTCAATTATTTCTTTTCAATTTTATATTTCCTTCTCAATTTTTCATCATACTAATTTTTTGTATTTTCTATATTATTATATAAATTTGTGAATAAAAACTACAATAAGTAGAATTACAAATAAAATATATATTGAAATGAATACATACAAGATTTTTAAAGAAAAAAATAACTACAGAGGGAAAAAAATATATGAATACAAATATATTTCTTAAATGTCTATATAGATATATTTGACATACCTATTGGAATGAATACAAACTAATAAAAAACTATAATGAATATAAATAGAATATATTGTGGAATAAATATAATTTTAAAAAGGTAAAAAAAAAGGGGAAAAAAAACAAAGTTTAAATTTATTTGAAAATGTAACTGAAGAGAAAATTAAGTGATTCTTACTTTTTTTTGAAATACTCTCTCGCTTGATTTTCTCCCTTTTGTTATTAAATAATTACATTCTTTAAATAAAAACAAATAATAAAAACATGAATAAGATACATAACAAACTAAAATTTGACATTTCTACTAAATATTGAAAGTGTTGCTAATGAGCCCTCTTAAATGTTAAAATATTGACATTTTGAAAAGAATTTCCTATTATTATTTAGTACAATATCTAGTCGAAATTTTGGTTCTATGTATAATTAGTTTGCACCCTACCTTACATGTTATGATATTATGTATTACTAATATCTTTTATTTGATGGTATTTGTAAGACATACGATTTATTATCATGAGATTAATCTATTTAAAAATAAATAAAAATCTCTTAAATAATTTTATTTATTTATTTGATTTTAGGTTTTATATTTGTACTAGCAAATCTTATATTATCGTAAATATTTATAAAATAGAAACTTAGGTCCGCCTACATGACACCTTTACAATTCATGAATTTACTTTTGTGTTTTCCTTTGTACTTTGCGGTTTTTTTTATCTCTATTTTATTTTTTACCTTTAAACTGGCCCACTACTTTAATTCTGTGTCCCTTCAGACTATTATATCCATTCGGTTGCGTCGCTTCAAGAACTGCATATAAAAACTAGGCAAAAATCATACCTTCTTGTATCATCCCTAATTTTGTGGAATTTCTTCAATTCCTTGGAAGACTGCTTTGGATCTTGACCGAAAAAATAATTAAACAATACTATAATCTCCTTATAGTTTTTTCCTCCATTCAACAAGTCAAAAGAAACTATTTCAATTGCTCAGTTATTAAAAATTTTAACTTAATTATGATAATTTTTTGGTTCGTACCTACTTCTTTTTATGAATTTTTCAATTTTTTCATCACTTAGTCCGACAACATACGTTAATGTTTTATTCAATATTGTGTATAATTTTATCTTTTAGTCCATAAAGCTTCTTAGAAAAAATAAATCATGAAATATAAAATATGTACTAAATTGGGTGTTAAGAAGATGAAGAATCGAAAAATGATGGTTTAAATACGTGAAAGAATTCTTCTACTTATAACCAACAAAGGGTAGTATCAATAAGTGTTTATTGTGTCTTATCAAAAAAATCGCATCTCTTTGGAAAAGTCACAATTCTTTGAAAAAAGTCATGACTCTTTGAAAAAGTAACAATCCGTCAGAAAAATCACAACTCTTTGAAAAAGTTACAACTCTTTGAAAAAGTCACAATCCTTGTATTTGAAGAAGTGTCTTCTTTTGATATATTTTATATTATAAATAAATATAAAAAGGAAATACATCAAATCCCCCTAAACTTGGCAGCAAAACTTATTTTAGTACTATAACTATATCAATGCATTTAACTACCCCCTTAAAATCATTGAACTGTATCATATACAACCTTGAGAGTAGAATACCATTTTCACCTACCCCGTCGACGCCATGTAAGCACCACGTCACAGGCATGTAAGCACAACGACATTAATTTTTAATTTTTTTGGTTATTCACTTTTTTTGTTTTCTTAAACTCATTACACTAATCAATTAATTAAAAATACATTGTAAAATTAAAATTGTCACATCTTCTTCAACCCCTTCTCTTCTAACCCCCCCCCCCCCCTTCTTCTTGATTTTCACTATTTTCAACATTCACTAACTTTTTCCCCCCAAATTTTAAGTCTTCAATGGTTGTTTTCTTCTTCAACATTCATCAAACACTTAATTTTTCTTCTACGAACCGTCTCTCTCCCACAAATTTTCCCGTTAAAGAATAATATTTGTTAAAAATTATTTTTTTTCTTAACAACTTAAATGAAAAATGAAGATTGTAAAAAAAGTTGATAGACCCACATTTTTTTTGCATCACAACTAATAGAATTCAAAATGGGTTACTTAAAATTCAAGAGTTTGCATTCAATAATATGAATCAGGTGTTGACTTTTTGTGATTAATGGAGGACGAGTGATGTGAGGGATGAAGATGAATGAACAATTTTAATATGAAAGAAGAAATGTATAATGAATGCTTCAATGGAGAAGACAACAAAATAAAGAGAGAACAAAAAAATTAGATATTTTTGTAAAATAATTGAACCCACAAATTTCATTTATTTCTAAACAAGAAATTTCACATTTTTTTTTAACTTTAACTAGTAATTTTTTAAAAATATTATTAGTTAGATATTGGACAATAAATAAATGTCATGTGTTGATTTTACCTTTCAATTTTTATTTTTTTAATTATTTCAAGCGCTTTGAGGAGAGTGAGTACACTCACTTTGCCACGTCAGCTCTTAGGGTAATATTTAATTAGTTCAGAATTGTTAAGGGGGTATTTAAAGGCCCGTATAATTAAAGTACTAAAGTAAATTTTGCTACCAAATTCAAGGGAGATTTGATGTAGTTTCCCAATATAAAATATGTACTACATGAGGTATTAAAATTAGTAGGTTAGTGTGAGGGAACTCCTCTATTTATAGCCAACAATGATAGTACGAACATGCGTGTCTTATCAGAAAAGATGTATGATTTTAATAAATATTGTAATATAAATATTTAAATAAATGTAATATGATATAAAATATAAATGTGGAAGGGACTAAAATGTCCCTCAAGTATTTGAATTGATACAAAATTATCCTCCATCCACTTATCAGCCCTAAAGCCCCCCTGACGTCCACCTTTCGACTCAAATATACACTTATGTTGAATGGATCATACTAATTAGGGGGATGGAGGGAAATATTATATCAAATCTCATAGTTTAAGGGCATTTTACTCTCTTTTTTTCGTTAAAATAATTTGAAATTACGTAATATACAATCTCACATGATTGACTTCATTTTGTATTCATAGTAAATTTAAAATTTTAGAAAGATTAGGCATCTACTCTGTACACTCCTTCCTCCCAACCCTTCACTTCCTATCTCTTTCATTTTTTCTATTTGGATCTTGTCCATCAGTTTTAAAAAAACTTATAATAAAGAAGATTGAGAAAAAGGAGAAAAA